ATATCTTAAGCTACATGGCTAATTTCCAAATATTGTAGAAAGCTCTCCACAAAAAACGTTCAAAAAAGATCAAGCCGATTGCCATTAGATCATTAAAAACGTGAATACGGCTTATATCGGCAAAGCATGATTTTTTGTTGGACGAGAAAATAAAATATTCTTACCAATGATCGAAAACATACGTTTGACAATAGTTTTGTCCAATGTAATTTCTATAATATCATAAATGATGTAGGTATTAAAGTAGTTAAAACCCGCCGTCCTGGTGGTTGCTGGAGTCATCCCCGTCAAACTTTTGGCGGCGGAGAGGAAGGCAATTTATCAGCGCCGTGGGGAGGACCAGGCAAGAATTGAGGAACGCACCCGGACCTTCCAGCTGTGGCAGGAGAGCTGGGAACAGGAGACAAGGGGGCTCTGGACCAGGCGACTGATACAACAAGTCCATCCTTGGGTTAATCGGCGGTGCGGAGAGGTGAACTTCTACCTCACCCAATTTCTGACGGGTCACGGCTTTTTCCGGTCGTACTTGTTCAGGATGGGCAAAGCCGTGTCACCCGATTGCATATACTGCCCAGGCATTCCCGATGATGTGGAACACACTTTCTTCCACTGTCAGCATTGGGAAAGACCCCGCCTAGAGGCTCAACAGTTCGTAGGACTGCTGTCGGTGGACACGGTCATACCGATGATGATGGAGGGTGAGGACAATTGGACCTGTGTGTCACTTACATCCAGGGTGTTCTCCGCGCCAAGAAGCTTGACCTCGACCGGGATGCGGTTTAGGTTAAAAAAATAAATAATGCCAGAAACGGTGCGAGCCCTGTGGGCTTAGGTCACATGTTGGCCTGACTTGAAGTAATGTGACAAACAATTCCAGGTCTGTGTCCAACAGAGTAGAGGGGGTTTTTTAGTGAGTAGTCTGTGATAAACTCAGGAGTCTCACACTACAGGCTGGCTACCTGTGTGCGTAAATGCATTTTCCCTCCTCGCAAAAAAAAAAAAAAAAAAAAAAGTAGTTAAAAAAGGTACTAAAACCATTAACAAACAATGTATTGTTAAGTTAACATGATAAAGATTATTTCACTGTTCCTTTGATATTGAGATTTTCCACATTCAATAATTTCATAGTATAAAATATTACTTAGTTGCATTTTTTGACAGATTCAGTTAATGCTTATAACACGTGAACTTTGAAATACTATTTAAATATTAAAATATGTTTCATTAAAAAGTAGTGTAAAATTATCCATCTGGTCATAATGTAAACAAATCTGTGGAGGAAACTTTAAAGGCCACTGGGGCAGAGCCCGAAGGGAATTTACCTTGGTTCTCTTTTGGTAGTTCATCTACAGACCAAGACCTTTCTTTGAACACTTCAACCGAGGTTCTATGTTCAGACATTCTCTCAAATTACTTGCCACAAAAACCCTGTTTTCCCTCCATAAGAATAACATGGAAAGGGAATTTTAAAGGCCGCTGGGGAAGAGCCCCAAGCGAATAGACCTTGTTTTTCTTTTGATGGCTCATCTACAAACCAAGATCTTTCTTTAGACACCTCTACCAAGTTTACGGCCAACCGTTCTCTCAAATTAGTTGCTACAAGAAAACACAGCATATTGAATATCAGTATATGATTCTTTTGATTTAACTAGTGGTTTCCAGTTAATAATATTAACTTTATTTCAATATCATTAAATAAACTTTTAACTTATCACTACTAAAAAAAGAAAAACTTTTAAGAGCTTAACTTATAATTAACAATAAATAAAAATGTTAAGCTCAATACTGTTTTAATAAAGGTTCTAACAGAGTAGGCTTAGAATACTGACTGACAGACCAGTTAAAGTATTCATCTTTTAAAATGTTAAATGAGAAACTCTTCCCATACTATGTTTCTTGTAAACACTCTAACGTCTTTAGCCAAATGACCTTGGTTTCGTTGTTCTTAAACCATTATTTTTAGATCATCAAAAGCGCGGCATCTTGACATTGCTACGTACAATGTCCCATGCTAAAAGCAGGGCTCTGGTTCAAGTGTCTGTCCTTGACTTTATATAATGTTCATGGCAAAAGCGATTCGACATAGGAACTGTCGACGTTTGAATTTTAGGGAAAAATTTCCTTCTGATGGTTCTAAACTTAATTGGGGCAGTAACACTCATTTTCCAGCCGAACTTCCAGAAGTCGTTTGTCTCTTTCACCATTAATCTGGTTCCATTAACCAGTACTTTTTGTGGATTTAAGTTACTTAGCAAAATTACAAATTTTAAGGCATAACTTGTGAGGAGGTAAACCACTTGGTGCTAAAGTGTGAAGAAATTCATCAGGTACATTAACTGGTCTCCCTCTTCTTGAATCAAAGTGTTCACTGAGTAATAAACTCGACTGTCATCATTTAGTTGCTCAACTATTTTATAATTTATTTCGTCACAATGTTCATTCTTTGTTGAAAGTATTGCATGATTTTATTGTATTTTTTAAAGCATATTCAGAGAATCCTTCACTGAAGATTTTGTCAATGTTATTTTTTTTCACAATACATTGTGGTGGAAGACATATCAATGACTCACCAAGATCAATGGCAGCTCTCTTGGCCATTCCCTATTCATAAAGGATATTCAGCAAATGTTGATTCGCTTGGATTGGCTCTCATGTTTTGCAAGTGAAATATTTAAACATTGGCCATAAAGGTGTAGGTATTGAATCTTCTACTATTGCACAGTGACTCGCACCAGGGACTATGGGAGCACATTGCCGGAAATCACCTCACAAAACCTTTCCACCAAAAGGCTTTTCTTGGTCTTCTCTTCTGGCAATATTTCGCAGTAATCTTTCTACAGAAGAGAAAGCATACTTATTTGAGATAGGAGCTTCAACCCATAATATTACTTTACAATTCCTGATATATTTAGCTTTGTTACTATTGGCTTTTATTCCGGAGACTGAGGACTCATTTAATTGTATGCCGAGCAACACGATGCTGAGCAATTCTTACATTGTTACATTTTGTCTTGTAGGTAGTGGTTTGATTTGTAACAGGAAGAGATTTGTACCAGCCATGTTCACCGCTTGGAAACAGGAGTGGGTACACACACGGGTCAATATGTTGGCTTGTGATTGGCAAAGACTGGAGAGAATTTGGGTTGTTTATGTCTCCTCATCCCATTTTGTAAATTTGAGTACTGTGATAGTGATTGCTTGGTGGTGCACCATCGTTGTCTGCAACAAAGGTCGCTGCTACCTCTGACACACGTGCAGTATTGTAGTGAGCTCCAGGGACGTCCGTCGTGGAAAACCATGCGAAGATTAGAAATGTCATCGCCATTTTCTTGTAGCTCTTCTTCAACTTCCCTTAATTGTTTAAATGAATGTAAATAAGAGTTATTACAATCGTATAGTGCCTGGTTAAGTAATTCTAACATTCCAATTCTTTGTTCTTTATTAGTAGAATGATTCATCCTAAACTTATTGGCTTCTGCAGTGTCCATTATATATAATTAGCCAAACGCTGGTGTACTACCAGGATCTGCATCTAAAGCACCCATTCGATGGTAAACTGCACCATGTATTCTGAAGCAGTAAGGACCTTGCCCAGGTGGAAGATCCATGTTTGCTCCAAAGGAGGCGAAAGACATAACACTGTTGTAACTTCTTATATTGTCTATGTGTAATGTTGGTTACAACTTACAATCAAGTTCCCTATATTAGGATGACAATGTGGTGTTTCAATACACTTCCATTATGGCAACACAGGGATGTTTTATTAGTTTCACAAATAAACAGTTTGGCATTGCAGTAAGCACACTCCTCGGTAAGATTTCCCAAGTCAAAATAGTCTGTTGTGACAGCATCTGTCCGTGTACGGTAATATTAAAATAATCATGCGGTCGTATGAAATTTCTTTGAATGTCAAAAACCGGCACAGGGACATTTTTACGATTTCTTGTCATATGATTTCTGTTGTTAATACGTCGCCGACTCGCAAACACTGGATTGTTTCTTCTGTGTGGCATTTTATGATAGCCTAATAAAAATTAAAAATTGAAAACACAACACGTAAAAATATCTATGAAAACGTTAAACACACCATATCTGAAAAAATAAAATCACATAAAATAAATACAAGCACATAATTAAGAAAACTTATTTTGACTCCCTAACACTCTGAATGAAACTGCACAAATAAACTATCCCATTTGCATTTTACCAGTTATCGTATTTGAAAGTAAACTGATAAATAAACAGAAAAAGTAAATATTAAAACGACATAAGGGAAAGAGGTTATTTTTATAAGACAGATGTTTTTTTTTTAATGAATTATAATAATGTTTGATAAACTGAACTAAATTTTCACTTGTATTTAAAAATACATGGAAACTTTAAAGTCCAATGGGGTGAAGCACATTGAACTGAGCGTTCAGATAATTCCCTCTAATTTGACACATCAATCATAAAAATCTGTTGATAAATAAAAGAGTTTTGCTGTACATAAGAAATTCCTTACGGAATTAGAATAATAGATTGCCAGATGTCATTTGTCAATATGCTATCAATTAATACCAGGGTTTGGACAGTTTCCTTAAATAAAAGTTTAAAAACTCCATTGGCGTGAATAGCGCCAAAATAAAAATTCTATGAACTGGTAAAAATAATTTGTATAACTCTGTGTGATCTAAAACGTCCCTCTGAGAGTTTTACCTGCGCTTTGCAGCTTCAGAATTTTCCCTCATTGTTAATGAATCAATAGTTTTTTTTGCATTTTTGCATCTAACCATCTTTTATTTTGTAATTGAATCATTTATTTGTGTGTTGGCTATTTATGTCATCTTACTTAATGGTTTAAGTAACTATTCTCTTCAGTTTCAAGAACCACAGTCTCCATTTGTCAAATTAAATTAATCTTTCATCAACATAAATTGTCAGAATGCAATATGTTTGTCTGATACTTAATCCACAACCACACCCTGTTACTGTCTTATCTGTATACTTCTTGTTGGTAGCTGATCCTCTGTAAAGATGAGAAAGGAAAGGTTGGAGTGAGAGTGGCAGCCATCAACAAGGGGATCTTTGTGTGTCTGGTGATGAAGAACTCTCCTGCTGCTATGGCCGGATTGAGGTTTGACAAACTTTGTTGTAATGGATAAAACAATAATAATTTGACTGTTCTGAGTTGTTAATTCTCTAATCACTTCACAAAATATGATACACCATCATTATGAGCTTAAAGTGGGTTATAGTGTGAAATTTCTTGACTGAGACCTGCTGGTTGGTTTGGCTGGTCATTCATGTCACAGTATATTACCATAGACTAACCAACACAAATAGACTTCTGATCACATTGTCAGTTTTGAAACTAGTTTTTTGTGTCTAGTTATTGTACGTCGACTATTATTTTGTTTCTATTATTTTAGGGTTATTTTCATGATTTGTGCTTTACTGTTTGGTTATCTTAACTAGGAGACCAGTTATTGTTTTTTTTTAAATTAAATTCAATTTATTCATCACAAAAAATCACAATACAGAGGCTGAATATCAGCAATGAATATGTGCTATGTCAGTACAAATCATGCATTATAAATAGTTTACACATAATAAATGTATACAAATACTAGCAGAGTACCCGTCCTTCGTACGGGGTTGGCATATAAGTATAAAATGTTTATTGCAGTTATGCTCATAAGAGCTTTCTGTTTGCAATGGGGAAGGACACAGTTTGACAACATTTGCTTCTCTAAATTCAAGGTATACTATAGTATTACACATCTACCATAGCCCTAATGTTCTACGACTAAAAGAAATTACAAAAAAATCACAAATTATTCATGAGTTGAAAAACATAAACATTACTGTAATCAATCCTTCTTTGACAGTTCTCATTGAGTATCACAGTTTTTTGTTCCTGCTTAGTTTTCATAAAGGAAAAAAATTGTGCTGCACCCTGTTGGTAAATCTTATAACTTTTTAATGCTTTTGCATATCATAGAACAAACCTTTTTATTTGAAACAGCTGACTAAATTCTTTTATTCCCTTTAAATATGAATACTCATATGGTTAACATGGGGAACTACAGAGCCACTCGGGCGGAGCACGAAAGGATTTTTGAGATAAGAATATGCCTATATGTTAATCGGGAATGTGAGCTATCATTATGCCAAATTTCAGCCCAATCCGTCCTGTAGTTAATGCATGATTGAACTTCAAACAAACACACAAACTTTCACATTTATAATATTAGTAAGATTAAAACAAGATTACAGTTGACAGGATAAAAATGAATTCATATTCTAACTATTTACACTCACTTTTAAAGTGTACACTCAGTGTAAAAGGTTAGAGGAACTGACTACATTGAATAAACAATAACATCTTCAGACAACAAATAAATCAGCTGATTAGTTTGTAAACAAGTACGTTGACTTTCACCGCAGCTGATATAAAAGGTTTGGGTGTTTTGTGTGAATTTTCAAGACAGTAAAAAGGTGTGCAACTTTTAAGCCATCCTAATGATAGATAATTGATACAAAATACAGTTTTAGGGTAATGTAATATTTTATTATTGTTTAAAATAATCTAAAATCGCTTTAAAATTACTTGCAAAGAGGACAGTGATTGTTGTATTGTTGGGGCAGACTTTAGCCGTATGCCTCGGCATGCACTGCAACTAACCTCTAGCGCTCATGTATCACTAAAGCTGCCATATCTCAGTTAATATTCGTCCAATATTAATAAATAGGGTGTCAATCGATTTGTAATTAAATTTCCTAAACAAAGTTATCCTTGTAAAATTTTTGAAAAATCAACGGTTTTTAAGCTATTTATGAAACAAAAATTTAAATGGCCGCCATTTTGTTTTATGAATTTTAAATTTTGTCTTAATTTTTCTGTAGCTTTGTCTAGTTGTCATAAATGTTTGTGCAAAGTTTAAATTTCCTACGTTTAACCATAATGTAGGAAAAAATTGATAAGTGAAAAAAACAAAATGGGGGCTGTGTGAGTAACTAAGGACTTCCGGACAATTTAAATATGATATTTTAGATATGATTCTTACCCGGGAACAATGCCCTAAAATATTGGTAGGGAGTTCTGAAACACCCTGTATAACTGCAATAAGTATTTTATACTTATATGCCAACCCCGTAAGAAGGACGGGTACTCTGTTTGCTAGTCATTAATATTTTCCCAGATTTTTGCTCTAAATTGTTTTTGTCACATTTCATATTAGCGAATTTCCCATATAGGGAATAAGCTATTACCGAAGGTCTCATGGTAAGACCTGGACCCGAAACCGATGTACTTTTTCGTTTTGATGTCCCCAGACGCCATAAACGCCATCCATACATGATATACATGATAAGGATGGGTTCAGTCTTATGGGTGTTCATGAAGGGGTGTCACAAACTTGAGGGGCTTATAGTACTAATTAATATAAACAAAAAAGTTCATATAAACATAGGTAAAAAGAATTTTGTTTAATCGCTAGCCGCCATTTTGTATTTTTTACAAAACAATTTATATCTGAAGAATTATTCAAGCTACGCAAACCAAACTTTGCAAATACATTTATTGTGTCAAGAGGCAAAGAACAAAATGATGTAATTTTCTTTTAAATTTACAAATGGCGTAAATTTAAAATCTTTAAACTTAAATTACTATCATATGGCTAATTTTATGAAAAAATGTCAAGAACATTTTTATTTAGTACTAGCTGGACCGACAGACGTCGGGTCCTAATGTGGTTTTATGTCAAAATTTTCAAGATGAGCTCGTTCGCATGGCTCAATCACGTCCTGGTTGAAGTTCGTTCACTACGCTCACTTGCCTTCAGGTTAGCTCGTTCGCTACGCTCACTCACCTTTTGGTTGCAAATTAGCTGTTGTCATAAATTTAAAAAAATAATAGTGCTGCACCCTGTTGGTAAACATATTAACTTTTTAATGCTATTGAACATCACAGAATCAAACTGTTTAGTTGAACCAGCTGTTAAGATTATTTAATTCCATTTAAATATGAGTACTCAAATTATCGTCCGGACGGACACATATATATATACTAGCTGTTGTACCCATGCTTTGCAACGGGAAGAGAACACAAAATAGAAACATTTTAATCTTTACATCTGTTGCATATAATAGTTACACATCCGCCAACGCTTTTAGAAACAAAATTTTACTTTTATGGCCTTAATAGAAACGTTTAAGTTATGACTTTTAAATCTGGTAAGTAGTGGATACCACCATTTTGGTTTTGATTAATTTTAAATCTTGTGTAGGCTGATATGAGAAAAACTGACCAAATCTTTGAATAAAACTTTGACATACATGATTTACCTTAATCTCCCTTAATTAGATATCTTTTTATTTATTATGACATTTTAAATTCCAATTTTGAAGTGGCAAAAGTACTAATTATTATTAAATTTAAATGAATTTTTTATTTCACTCTTCTTCATATTAAATCTCAAATCCTTCCATCTTCAGTTTCTTTACTCACAATAAATCATTAGCAAAACTAAGTCAGCTGTTATAAACTTTAGAAATATTGCTGTGCCTTATCAATACGGTCTTTAGAAATATTAAAGAAACTATATCTATACTATAAAAAATTTTAAACAAATAATTTAGCATTAAATACAGCAGACAAAACTAATATGATTATCAAAGCATCAAGCACTAAAAAATTTAATTGCAAAAATGTGAAAAATGTATATGTTTCATTGCATCTCTGATTCTACTCTACACAAATATCAACAAACAACTAAATATACAAAACCAATTTTTAAAATCAGTTCCATCGTCCATTGCCTTTACATTTTCACACTTACCATTAAGTTAACATAGTAAGTAACAGATATTTCATTGATTTTAGAAACAAAAGAACACTGTGTACTGCTTAGCTTTATGATATTTTCCTTGGTTTAATTTAATGTGGTGTGGCAAAACCACATCTCCAAATATTTTAATACCACATATTTTAATAATAATAAGTTTATCAAATAAAGTAAATGTGAACTGAAAGCTATGTTAAGATAAAATAAGATTATTTTTTATTACCATTTTATAATTAAATATAGTTACACATATACAACAGATTTTAGAAAACAAAATCAACGACGTACAATTTAGTTATTGATGATATTCTTTAATTTAATTTAAGCATAGGTTTAGCAAAACACAATAACCTATTTTACCTAAATATACATATAAGAAACAATGTAATGTGCAAGTTATGTTAAGCAGTTTGAATTTATTTAAAGTAGCCTCCAAATTCATACAAAACATCTATACACTGTAATTTTCATACTGTTTCCATGAAAACATATCAATAACATTATTTTCATAACTTAAAACATCCAAAGCAGAGCCGGAGTTGATACAGCAACGGTTATAGAATCTTTTTTTCTATAATCATTGACTTAGTTTTAGAATAAATAATCCATAAAACGTTAGATTAAAATAATCCTACCTCATAGCTATGGTAAATATTATATTTTACTAGCAGAGTACCGTCCTTCGTACGGGGTTGGCATATAAGTATCAAATGATTATAGCAGTTATGGGTGAGGACATGGTTTAAAGAAATGGTGGTTCTTTTGTTCTACCACTGCCCTTGAACCATAGAAAAAAGTAAAGGTCTCATTGTGTACCATAGCTTTGTTGCTAGTTGGTTCAAATTAGCTGTTGTCATAAATGCAAAAAAATAATAGTGCTGCACCCTGTAGGTAAACCTTAAAACCTGTTAATGCTATTTAATATCATAGAACTAACTTGTGCAGTTGAAACAGCTGACAAAATTATTTAATTCCTTTAAATATTTATGAATATGTTTTTATCAAACTTGGCAAATTTATTAATTCTATACTAAGCTAATAGTATTTTCCTAAAATCACACTTCGTAACCCTCCCTGTAGCAGCATAACCCATAGATACTCGTTAAACCTTATGTTATTGAATTAGATTTAATCTATATAAATAAAATTAGAGTTTTGTCTGTACATTGCTCAGAATCATAAGTTTTTAGGTTATTTTTACATTTATACATTAAAGAAGCCGAGACAAGTCTCATCTAAATTTCTGTGTGTCTGTCTGTCTGTCTGTCTGTCTTTCTGTCTTTCTGTCTTTCTGTCTGTCTGTCTTTCTGTCTGTCTGTAACATTCAAGATGGCATTTTACGCAATCTTCTCCAGGAAAACGAGAGTACCTATCAAGATCCAAGTCATTTTAATGTATTCACTGGATTGGCGAGAGTGTCTTTAACCATTAAAATATGGCCTCACTACTCACTAGAACCAGAGATTCTTTGTGTATAAAATTGTTCTTGAGTTTTGATAACCAGAAAGAAGACCTTGAATCAGTATTGTATAGGGCTGGGAAACTTGAATTTATTAATGATCGTCGCCAATAGCTTACAAACAAGGTTTCCACTCATTGACGGCGCTTCGATGGCGGTTGTGTAAAGTAAAAAATCACAACTGCAGTGGGTGATTGTAACAGAGGTTTACGGATGATGATAATCTCGCTTTTCCAATGACCGTGTCACTTTCTGTTCCTACTCACCGTGTGATGCAATAGCTGGACCTTACAGCCAATAGGCCCATAGCCCATCTCTTGGGTACAAATTATAAATTACCAATCTAAATCGTCTGTAGTACTTCATTTCATATAGTAAGCCACCATTTCGACAGCATTTCGGGTCATCTCCGAACCAATCAAATATAAATTGTTATGATAAAATTGGATGACATTAACAAAGATTTCATAAATACTTATTTTATAGGTATGTTCTTTGTTAGGTATGCTTAAAGCATTGCGAATTCCCTAATTACATTCTGTATTTTTGTGTATATGTCTGTTGGTGACGTATTAATGTCCTTATTTCTCGATGATAAAAATGTGAACCGGAATAAAGTGTTAAATGGTGAGGTTCAGGTCCCTACTTTAAATACTTAACCACTGTGGAAAGTAACTTTCAATTATAGGCCTACCTTAGGGATATGCCTCATATATCTATAAAAAGCATATTTTAGTTTAATCATTGGATTTAACATATGGACCAACACGACCCGGGTGACATTTAATTGCATTTGTTTTGGCTTGAAACTGTCAGATACTGTATTTGCGAAGGTTTATATATAATAGTTTTGCCAACAATCTGAAAATATGCAAACCAACTGCTGTTCTTAATATAAGAAGGTTTCAACTGAATACTATAAGATCCCCGTGCGTAGAACGGGTACACAGCTAGTTGAAAATAAAGTCACACAAATGGAAATTTGCTTAGGCTGCAGCTGTGCTGTGGCGGGGGTATTATGAATTTGTAATTGATGTAGAAAGAAGACTTTGTGGTAGTAAATGATTAACTCGTAAGTTATATAAGATACTAAATAAATCAATCCCGTCGGTCCCAATTAGTAGCGACAGACGTCAATCAATTAATTGATAAACTCATCGGCAACCAGCTCAAACGGAAAAACTAAGCAAAACCCCGTCAACCTGATAAAAAGTACGTCTGTGTTGAATTCAATGAAAACATCCAGTACAACCTCAAGAGACATCTAAAACACAACAACATCACCTTATCTTTTAGAACAAGTAACAAAGTATATAATATCTTAAAGGACAATAGCCATAACAACAAAACCGATAGATCCAGTTCAACAACGTTAAAAGAGGTTAAAAGAGGCCACCAACCTCTTTAAAAAAAAAAAAAAAAAAAAAAACAGGAATTTACAAAATAAATTGTGCCGAATGCCCGAGCTTTTACATTGGACAAACGGGTCGAGCATTTAAAACCCGCTATAAAGAACACCGCCCAAACCCGAGAACAGACACACAAAAATCAACTTTTGCCCAACACCTTAATGACTGTAATCACGATATGAATGACATTAACACCGGTCTGCAAATACTACATTACTGTCAAAAGGGAAATAAAATGGACGTCTTGGAGGAGTTTGAAATATACAAATCAATAAAAAAATCTGGATTCCAACAACCATATCCTGAATGACAAACTCCAGTTTAAGTCAAATATAATTTTTAACACGCTACTGCAACAAGGAAACAAATCTGATCAGCTGACCACAACAGATAATTCAACCAGATAGCGCTGACTTGAACCCTCCACCAACAGTCTGTTCCCGCTCGTGTACCGGCAATGTTGCATATTCGTGATAGGCCTATCAAACTAAAAGTATTTATTTTTATGTCGTACGTGTTGTGTGTAAATGTTGTTTGTCGTGTAATGTGTTGTAAGAACGAAGCTATTCAAGCGGATCTACATATTCCTGTAATGAAGTGTTTGACAATGGCAGCTCGCCGAAACATGTAACACGTTGACGAAGGTTACTTTTGGAACTGATAAATGTATTGTAAAACCAAATATTTTATATATTACAGTTCCGGGGCTACAACAATGAATATTAACATATGGTTTGAAAGCTCCCTTTAAGTAATGTTAAATAATGTTTACATTGGGGCTAGTGACATCATTATTTTAAATTTATAATCCTTACCCTTTCTGTTCTAATATCCGTGCAGTATGTAATATGTTTGAACCAGCTGTGTGGAATTGTGAAATCAAAATTCATTTGACAGTTAGTTCTGCTTGTTTACATTTTTAAACTTTGTAGGTTTGTTCTTTGTTACCATGGATACCATCAATCAATATTTACTTTTAAATCTCTCACCTCAAATTTTTGAAAGCCCATGGGGCGGAGCCCTAGGACAATATCATAGCGGGAATAGTTCTATATGTATCCTCGGAGCTGTAGCTTCATTTGTGTGCAATTTGAGCCCAGTCGGTTCAGTACTTGTTGAGATTATCTCATACAAACACACAGACACACACACAGACACCACCTCTTCTTTATAATAGTATAGATAAAAGAGGAACTATGTATGTGTGTGTGTGTATATATATATATACACGTTATGGACTCCGAAACCGCTCGACAGATTGTAATGAAACTTTCAGGCATTATTAAGCATCTTTCAAGGATGGTTCGAGTGAAGTTTGGTGCAGATCTGTCAAAAGGGCTCTGCCCCAGAGGGTTTTAAGTGGGCCAATGTCAGACTTTTTTATCTACAATGTTTACAAATAAATATAATTTAAAAGCATATGTTTACTTTCAACAACTGTTTTGTAGGTTTGAATAATTACAACATTCTGTATTAGCATTAGTCATGATTTGAAATAGTGCCACTGTGTTTCTACAGAGTTCAGCACAGAAAACTATTTTACTTTTGAATAAGTCCAAATGTATTAAACCCCAATCGCAGCACACCTGTGCACTTAACAACGTTTAAATTCTCCAATGTTAAATATTAAAACATAAAAACCTTTATCAAAGTATAATAAACAATAAAAGGGATGACGTTTTAAAATTTATGACAACAGCTAATTTGCAACCAAAAGGTGAATGAGCGTAGCGAACGAACATCAACCTGGAGGCGAGTTAGCGTAGCGAACGAGCTAACCTGAAAACAAGTGAGCGCAGCGAACGAGCTTCAACCTAAAGGTGAGTGAGCGTAGCGAACGAACTTCAAACGGGACGTGATTTAGCCATGCGAATACTTATGAAGTTAAACGGGGCAAAGCCCGTGGGTACAGCTAGTAATAGTATAGATTTCTTTGTATCAGCTGTCTTAAATTGTGAAATATGCAATTTAGCAGTTCTTGTTTACATTTAAATGTCAAAGCAAATGTAAACAAACATGGTTAGTGTTCTCATCGCAGCCATGGAGACCAATCAGTATTTACTTTTAAAATCTTCACCTCAGAACTTTTAAAGCCTACAGTCAATATCGAAATGTGAAAAGTCCTATAATGGTCCTTGGTATGGTAGCTATATTTTTGTAAAATTTAAGCCCAGTTGGTTCAGTAGTTTTTGCCCCTATTAGTAACACACATTCAAAATGAAAAAGTAAATCGGTCCCGGTCCTAGGTCTTACCATGAGACCTACGGTAATAGCTACTATAGGGATAGGGAAATTCGCTAAAACACTTTATTACCCTCCCTATAGCAGCAAACCTAGGCACTTGTTAAACGTAATGGTATTGAAATGGATTTAATTGAAAATAAAATCAGGCAAATGGAAATTTGCTTAGACTGCAGGTTTGCTGCTGCGGGGATATTTTACTCTGTAATAATTTTATGAGACTGGATTAATAATTTTAAGCTCAACATATTTAAGTTTATTGATTTCTTTGACAACAGGCTGCTTTTTCTGCATGTTTTTTTAATAAACAATTAAAAGTAATCTTTTAAAAATACTTATTAAAGCACAAGTGGTCCTCTCACCCACAGAGTGTCCAGTCTGGGAAACTGTACATTTTTCTAGAATTGTTATGACTAGGCGTATTATTTTTATAAGTTCCTGGACAAAGAAACATTTTTGCAGTTTTTAATAAAGTTGACTAACTCTATAATTCTTCTAATGAAAGTCTTGTCGATGTTTTAATGTCGTTTTGCCCACAGATTTGGTGACCAAATTCTCCAAGTGAACGGTCAAGTGGTTGCAGCATATACCAAAGATCAAGTCCATGATTTGTTCAAGAAAAGCTCGGTCAATGGAATATCTGTGATTGTTAGAGACAGGTATACTACCAGAATACAGGGCTAAAAAAAGTGCAAACTGTCAATAATTAAAACTAATGTTCATGAAAGATCAAAATACAACAGTTTAAAGAGTTTTTTTTTTTTTTGTAGTAGTAGTGAGTACAAGTCCGGGGATTTATAACTTAGATACGTAAAATATATATATATTAATTACGTAAGCCGATTATTTGCGTCAAAATTGTGGGCGACTAGGAAGTCGTAGAACAACGGGTGAGGGCTCAAATTAAAGGTCTCGATCCCGTGACGGCAGGAAAAATAGTGAAATTCCCAAAATTTTTACACAAACTTTGAGATAACGTAAAATGTCCTCCATAAGAATAGCATTAGAAGCCATTTACTGCTAATTTTTTTTTACTTCAATACAGCTGATCGTGATTTATCACTAAGCCTGTATGCAATATTAACATTTGATTGACTTATTTTCCAGTCAATTCTGAAATGTACTACAGTAGATTCCCTCTTATCCGGACACCTTTTAACCGGACATCGGTTTAACCGGACTACACTCTGGGGAAATGGCATCTCTTTAACCGGACAATTTTTATCAGCACATTGTTTAACCGGACTAGAACGGCAGGAAGTGGGCAGTACTGAAACAACTGTTCTCGTGGGAAAGATTTGAGACCAGTGATCACGTGTCTTAAATACAATGCTCTCCTAAATTTAAGTCGAATATCACAGTAAACAGTCTGTTTTATCGAGTTTTTGGGACGTCGGTTTAACCGGAAAACCCGTTATCCGGACTGGCCTCGGTCCCGAGGAGTCCGGATAAGAGGGAGTCTACTGTACAGGGTTATTACAAATGATGTTCCTGATTTTGATTATAAATATTACTGGGTTAATTTTTCAAGACTATTTTAGTTGGTACCATTGGAAAGAAAAACTTATAAAGTTTCATTTACATTGGGTTGGGTTCTTATCAGCTGTTTGTCAAGTCAATTGCTGTAAGTGTTGTGTAATGGTTAAATTTGAAGGCAGAAAAGCTTTTTGCCAGTTGGAATATTACATTAACCAATCTGTTATTAGTGTGCAACGACACTTTAGAACCAGGTTTAATGATAATCCTCCTTGTAACCACTATATTGGCAAGTGACATTTGAAATTTAAGAGAAATTGCTGCATTTGAATGTTACTTGTAGTAGGACTGAACTTAACAATGTGCTGCCTGAGATATGGAACGAGCTCGGTGGTCCGAATAATGACACACCCCTGAACTGGCCTACAAGATCTCCGAACATCACCCCCTGTATTTTTTTCTTGTAGGGATACATCAAAGATAAGGCGTACTCACCACCATTATTAGATAGCATACTTGAGATCCAGCAACGGATTACCAATGCTATCAAAACAATAGATCAAGACACACTTTTCAAAGTCTAGCAAGAGCACATTACATTATTGACATCTGTCGTACCACAAGGGGTTCCCGTATCGAGCATTTACTATTCTCTGTGTATCTGTGTCGAAACTTTTTAAGTTTTTCAAAAGTTGTAACCATTTTATTTCTTTGTATAACAAATAAAACCATATTTTATGTATGTTTTAAATCATGAACATCATTCGTAACAACCCTGTATATAAAAGAAAACCAGGGATAACGTTACCTATAATAATTCACACCTTTTAGTTATGTTATAAGGATGTTGAAATAAATTATTTTACTGAGAAATTTTTCAAATTTGTGTATTTTTAACTTTAACATGAAATAACCACATTGACTAAATAATTAACGATTCAAAATTAAAGGGAAATCTTCTGCTTTGTTTTTATTTCCAAACATATGTTCAAGACTTATTCTACACTTTCTGTATTATAAATTTGAGATTTATTGTAGTGTTTAATCAATATTTTGTGTGAAGTGGAATAACCTCAACGGATACTCAGGATATAACTTGGGAATAAAGATTGAATAGGTTCGTAGTAAATATGTTTGTTAATTAAGTTAAGTAAGTACTATAACAAGTTCCAATGGGCAGATAAACAATATTGTTTGAAGATTTTTAACATATACTGTCTGATGCTCTAAGCAAAAAAAGGTTAAAATAATATAGCCTAGCATGTATGGTATATAATAGTGAAGGGAGCATCCACATGTAACAGTAAAACCTAGTGGTAGGTTCCATTTTTTAAACAAACCAAAATGCATATCAATGCTGATGAAAAGTAATTTCGTGGTTGGTTTTTTTTAACACTAATTGTGTTAAACCTTAACAAAGGAGTGTAAAATTAGAAATATTAACTGGGTAGGGATGCTAATTTAGCTTTTTTGACCAAGAACTAAGCTTACCTCAACACACCTTTATTTGCCTTTTCATATTTTATGAAGATAATTTCCAAAATTCCAATCAGGGAAGCCTTTTTATCACCATTAACCACAAGTCCAAAGCTACCTTATAAACCAGTATTTACTCACAAACAATTATATGTTTGCTGCCTTTAGAACATCAACAAAAGCAAACGACGACAAACAACAGACTGTTTTTACACAAACGATATGGTGTACAGGGATATCTATTCTTGACACATTGATAATATATTTCTGAGTTTGAATATTAGATTAATTTGTTTTACATTATTGAGCTTTTTAGGGACTTATGTCCCTACAAGCCACTAGTGGTAATTTAAAATTCTTCTTTTTTGTGAAGGAGTCCTATACTACTGAAATAACACTGTTCATGTCATACCTTATCCCTTTGGAATGAAGGTAGTTTCATATAGAACTAAGCACATTTCACAGTATTCTTTTCCTAGAAATGCATTGCAGACCACATTAGACTTCCTGATTTCTTACACATTTAGTTTTTTCAGGCCATTTGAGAGGACAGTCACTCTGCACAAGGACAGTGTGGGTCAGTTAGGTTTCCAGTTTAAGAACGGTGAAATCTTCCGTTTGGTGAAGGATTCCAGTGCAGCCCGCAACGGTATACTGACTGAACATAATCTGCTTGAGGTAAGCCGACACAAAAATTAAAAACACTAATTGATTAGGCTTTTATGTGTTAAAAAAGTTATTTTAATTCGTTTTTTATTTATAAACCTTGTAAATAAATATTGGAAATTACTAGAACATCTCATTTAACATTCATTATCAATTAAATTTTTTATCAAATTACACTTAAGTTTACAGCTTAGTTTTTTGTGTTTTATGTTAACTAGTTAAAACCCAACACAATGGCAGCTATTGCCCTCTTGTATTATACACTTTAACCCTTTGGGTCCCAAGTGCCGATCACATCGGCACTTCAGTTTTATCTGAAAAGACCCAAGTGCCAATCACATCGGCAGTGCCGTTACGATCGAAAAAGCCCGGGTGCCGATGTCATCGGCACTATGTATGTATGCGAAAAAACCCAAGTGCCGATGTCATCGGCTTTTCGTAAATCTATTACTACAAAATTATTTATAAAGCTATTCCACCGAAAGATATATCAAACGAGAGCAAATTAAATTCTCTATGCAGGTAATTTCAACAACACACTCAAAACGTACTTTATATAGAGCTTGAGAGTAAGAAGAACGATGAAATTTGCGTGGCGTTGACCGGTCTGTCTGTACAGCTGTTGCGCATCAAAACATTGACTCGACGTTGTTGACATTCACTGTGAAGTACTAATGTTGTTTTTTGTTATTCGTGAGTTTGTTTAGTGAATTTTATCATGAAATGAAGTAAAACGAGTTTCTATATAAACTATTGTTGCTAAAATAGATTGTGTATGTACAGCAGGTTTTTCAATTTGCACTGATTATGTCTTGAGTATTAGAAGCTTTGTCTGAACATTTGAACTAGGACTAACCTGACTTCTCTGTCCTTTGTTGTTTTATTTCTTTTTAAAAGCTCTTGTTACTCCAAACTAAGACTCTATTCCTTACTTTTCATTAATTAACACTTTTCCATTTGCATGTGCATGAACTTGTTTTTAGTGTGAATAAACATTAGGCTACCTATCTTACCGTTTGAACTAGGGTATGCCTAGGCCTAACTTGAGATCTCCGTCCTTTGGTATGAAGTTTTATTTACTTCATTTATCATGAGAGAACTTAACTTTTTATGAAGTAGGGCCTATAGTTACTTATAATTATCCTATATGCCTATATAAAGTTGTATGGATCTAATAATTAGTATAAAAGCAGGCCTAGTTAAAACTTATAGCCAATCAAAATGAGTGAGAACAAATCTAAAAGAAAACATTCCCCTGAAAGTGAACGTACACTTATTTCAAATATACTGGAGTCCGGTGTAACATTTATTGATGGAAATGAAAGTGATGATTCACTATTAGATATTTCTTCTTCTTCTTCAAGTGAGGACGTAGACGACACTGATGAAGATCCCGACTACGACCCTAGTGGTAAAGATGGACTTACCCCTAACAGATACAGTTTTTTATCCAACTTTAGGCAAAATGGAAGAAACTTAATGTCTGATAGTGACAGTGACAACCCTCAGCAGGATAGAACTGGATGTGATGTAAGTGTAAATCAACCCTGTTCCACGCCCAACAGTGAAGATAATATTCTAGATCCTGATGATCCTGTAGGCCTACCTATTGATGAGCCAAGTACTTCTACAGGGAGGTCTCGTGTTGCGTCGAGGACCCTAAACAATAGGCCTAGACAGAAGAATAACGAGAAAAATAAAACTAGATCTAGGCCTACAACAAATCCTAGATCAAAGTCAAAAAAACAACCGGAAAGCCCAGAAAGTAGCGAGTGGGAGGAGCTTGAATCTGACACTGACCCTGAATAAAACCTCAACTTTGGATTCTCAGAACTACCTGGTCCTAAACATTGCCCACCTAGAAATTCAAAGCCCATTGAGTATTTCAACCTTTTTTTTACAGTAAATCTTCTAAATACCTTAGTAACTGAAACAACAGCAGATATGCTGGGCAGTTTTTCAGAAATAATCCTGCCGTAAGAAACCGCATGAAAGATTGGGTCCAGATTAGTTTAGGAGAAATTAAAGCTTTCATAGCTATTGTGCTCAACATAGGCATTATTAGAAAACCCTCAATACGAAGTTACTGGTACACTTCTTCCTCTAAAAAATGTGATTGGTTTGGTAAAGTACTTAGCCGAAATCGGTTCCAAGCTATTTTGAAATTTTTCCATCTAACAGACTCAACCGCTCTACCACCACTTGATTCCCCAAATTACAACCCCTGTGGACCCTCTGATAAATCATGCGAACCGCCTTTTCCATCATTACTACATACCTCACCAAAAGTTGTCTGTGGACGAGTCACTAGTTGGCACCAAAAAGCGAGTCGCTCTCACGCAGTATCTTCAAAAAAAAACAAAAAAAACAAGAGGGGGATAAAATTGTGGGTGCTTTGTGATGCTTTGACCACTGTTTAAAATTTTACTGTTATAAAGGAGCCAAATATGAAGACAATAGAGAAGAAATTCAGCGTCTAGGGCAGGGCTACTCGGTTGTTAAAAAGTTGTTAGAGATGGGAAATTTCCTAAACAAAGGATACCATCTATACCTTGATAATTTTTTCACTTCAAAAAAATTGGCAAGATTTTTGTATCAAAATTTTACATGGTTGACTGGCACAGTTCGTACCGATAGAAAAGGAGTCCATAAAAAGCTATTAGGCAAGTTCCCTGTAGGCAAAAGAGTTTATGTTCGTAAAGGACCTTTCTTATTCATGGCCTTTCGTGAAAAGGCAACCAACAAAACTCAATTCATTTTACTATCATCCAATGCCCGAGCCAAGAGTGTGCGTTACACAGTGAAAAGAGGAGGAAAACTGTTAATTAAGTGCAAACCTCACATAGTGTACGAGTATAATCACGGGATGGGAGGTATAGATGGGACAGACCAGATGCTCTACACCTATCTCGATGAGCGTAGGTGTATGAAGCACTTCAAAAAGGTAATTTTTAATATTTTTTGTAGAATGGTCTTAAATGCATATGTCCTGTATAAGTTGAACACAGGCAGACCCCTCTCCAGACTTCACTTCCAGGTATCCATCATTGAGGAGTTGGCAAATGAATGGTTTTTAGAAAAAGCTCCGGTTGCTGAAAATAGAGGGGGCGGCGATGGATTTTCACCCAACAGGAAATTTGGATTAGAAAAACTAGAAGGGAATAAGGAAAGCAATTGTTGTGTGTGCAGTGGGAAAAATGACCCCATGGGTAAAAGAAGAAGGTCAAAAACAATTTGTGTTAATTGTAGGCGTGGATGTCACTTGGACTGTCTTCCTCGACACAAATGTAAATAGATAGACTGTTCAAGAAAAAATGTAAATATGTAAATAGTTTTAGCGCTAAAAGTTTTATTTCAATTTTTTAACAGAAAACATTATATCATAAGAAAGATGTGCATAAAATGAACTGCTTTCACATTCTTTTCAGTAGCTTAGTGTCTAAAATAGGTGAAATAGGTGGACTGTCTTCCTCAACACAAATGTGTAAATATATGAGCCGTTCCAGAAAAATGTAAATATGTAAATAGTTTTAGCTCTAAATGTTTTATTTCAATTTTTTAACAGAAAACATTATAACATAAGAAAGATGTGCATATAATGAACTGCTTTCACATTCTTCTCACTATTCTTCTCAGTAGCTTCTCAGTGTCTAAAATAGGTGAGAGACTTAGTTTTACCTTTTTATTTCTTGCATGATACCTATTTTTAATTACTGTAAATAGATCCAGGCCTATAAATGCATGTAGAAATGTTATTGTAAAAGTATTTCTGTAGTATGTGGTAAATATTTAATAAAATTGGGTTTTATAATTACTTTATATGTTTTTTTATTACATGTCGATTTTGGCAAAAAAGTTACGTTTTTTATTTTTATTAAAAAAAAAACTTATTTATTATTATTTTTTGCTAAAACTTTCACAATATGTTCTTTATTCAGTGGTATTTAATAAAATAATAAACATATAGGAAAAAAGATACAGCTAACATTCTTTTTTTGGGTTACAAAATGAAAATTAGAGAAAATATTAGGCCGTTCATATACATAAATTGTATATATATATATATATATTTATTCATATATTTATACAAATTTTACTTATTATCGTTAAAGAAGATTCTATTAGCTAAAAGATCAAAACAAGTTATAACTTAAGCTGCTTTCTAAGGTGAGTTATGAATATTTATTTAATAATAGTACAAAACAGCTGAAAATGGCTTGGGATTCTGGGGTATAGTGTGCATAGAGTAACTTGGTCATCTGGTGTGCCAACACAACAAGTGGTCTGGGTCACCTCTGATAAAAAAATAACACATTGCATGGGACCCAAAGGGTTAATACCGGATTAGCTTCACCACAACCTTCCAGTCTATCACTCTTATTTTTTCCCCACTGCAAACTGCAATGCAAATTGAAATGGTAATTTGCGAAAGACGACGATAATTTCTTAAACGAACCACGGGTGATGGTCAGAATTTTGCCGTGATACCGTGGCGGAATACGAGGATAATGCCTGTTGGCTGAAAATTGTTAATGAATTTGCCATGATCACATTTGCTGTGATCGCACAAGACAATGCATGGGGTTTCCGTGACCAAGGGAGTCGATGGATTTTGCCCCCATCGCGGGAGACGATGATAATGTCCACATGACCGTGGGAGATATTCGTGATCCTGATTTTGCCACGATTGCAGGAGTCGTTGATAACATTTCTGTGATCATAGCATCACATTTTTGATGATGGCGATTCTGTTGATATTCAGGATTTTGCTACAGCCGCGACAAGATGTTTCTGTGACTAAGGAACATATTACAGATTTCGCAGTAATCCCAGAAGTCAACCATGATGTCTCCACGACCGCAGATGATCAACAAATTAAATAACAACAATATCAAAGGATATAAATACATATAAATACCAATGAAGATCTAACGACAAAAAGACAATTTAACTTTAACTAGAGGTTTGCCAGCCTGATATTTTCAATCAAGCCAAACTAGAGGTAATAGGGACCTCTAGTTTGGCTTGATTGAAAATATCAGGCTGGCAAACCTCTAGTTAAAGTTAAATTGTCTTTTTGTCGTCAGATCTTCATTGGTATTTATATGTATTTATATCCTTTGATATTGTTGTTATTTAATGTGCTAAGAGGGGTTTAAGACCAAATTAGCTAGTTATAATTTTTCATTGCTGCATTTTTTTTCTTTACTTAAAAAACATCCCAAATTACATCTTAATAATACTTTATGACATAAAGACAGGGGTTGGTTTGAAGAAACGTTGGTTCAGGAAAGTCTTGAATTAGTCTTGAATTTTAAAATGGAAATAAACTAGACTGTATAGAGTTTAGCGTATTGTTCCCATCGCCGAGCTTGGAAACGGAAATGCCGAGATTCCTAGAAAGCAGCGGGTAAACCGAACTACTCTCAAAACATGGTTGGTTAAAAGAAACTGTAATATTTTACAAGCAAGGGCGGATAATCCAAATATTGATTTATGCGAGGTCGGTTTAAAAAATTTTAATTCTATTTAAACTTCTTATCAGTTTCATAGGTGTGTATTTTTTAGGTGGACGGCCAAAACGTAGTTGGTTTAAAGGACAAGGAGATTGTAACTTTGATTGAAAAGGCTCCGTCTGTGGTTACTGTTACTGTTATACCCTCCTTCGTCTACAACCACATGATGAAAAAGTGAGTATTTTTTTATCTGATAAAAAGATAGGGCATTTGCCAGGAATTATTAAGGAAATTGACAGGAAAGCAGGCTTACCTTTTAAAAAGTCCATAGAGATAAAAAAGTCCATAGAGTGTGATAAAATACATCACAAAAGTAGAAATTTTCGTGATGGCAATGGCAGTTGCAATTTGAATCTATACACCTTGTCAGGGTTGCCAACACAGCTGAAGAGACTAAAAATTATTTTTACTGCTGCATAAATATGAATTTGTTCACTCATTATGAATAATCCACTATATTTACACATGTACACACATATATAAAAATATATATGTATGTACACTAGCCTGCTATGAAAGGTGAGGAATGGGGATTATCTTATATTAAGGTTTGGTGGGTTTCTAGAGTGGGTAGCTTAGTAGCTTAGTAGCTTGGTAGCTTAGTTCCCCTCTTCTTAGTTCTGAGGGGTTGCAGTTTGGAGGCAGTTGTTTTATTATTTTTGAAGAGAAGCAGCTATTGAAATCAGATTTGGAGTGTGATGAGGCATGGTTGACTACTGGTTTTTCTTTAAAATGATTTTTTACATATTGACGATGACCGTTCATTCTGGTACGGAACTGGTTCTTTGTAAGGCCTATATACTGAGCTTGGTTTGTCTTTAAAATTATTTTTTACATCTTGACGATGACCGTTCATTCTGGTAGGGAACTGGTTCTTTGTTAGGCCTATATACTGAACTGGGCAGTTTTTACATTGAAGTTGATAAATTACATTGCTGGTGCTGCAGGTGTTGTGTCCTTGAATCACAAACTTCATTTGTGGTGTTGCTGGACAAACTTGTGGTGGGGGTTGATGGGACACGTTTTACATCTGGAAGTATTACATGGAAAAGAGCCGGTTTGTTTCTGGTTGCTGTCATTGGATCTTAGGATGAACAAGAATCTTTTTGATGTTGGGGTGGTTGGCGAAATGTGGTTGTTGAGGGTGTTTTCAGGAATCCTTTGTGTGTGGAAAAGCTTGGAGAATTTTGAATCCATCTTTTAGAATGGAGTTGAGGGATTTTAGGCCATGGTGGTATTCAGTTATTAGGTTAAGGTTTTGCGGTCGTTTCAGTTTCTTTGTTGGCTGGTTGTTTGATTGGGCTAATCAGATTTGGTTTTCTACAAGGTTTAAATTACAAGATACAAGTTAAAATTAGAAGGTTTTTTTTGTTCTTACACAACACTTTTGCTTTTGTTTTACAAATACTCATAATTTACTACATAATTTACTACAAAATGAATAAGGAATAATTATGATATCCACAATAAGGCTTATGCACCATTGACTCCATTGAGCATCTACTCTATTTAGCCATTGATTCCAAATAGCTATTCCATTTACGTGAACCAAATATAGTCCTACAATTGAGCTTGGATACTGTAAGTAGACTTTCCATTTATGTGAACTAGACGTTACCGTTCAATAATGCAGGCTTTGAATAAATACTGCAATTAGGAATTCAATTAATGTGAACCAAAGATACCACTGAGTTTGGATACTGCAAGTAGACATTCATTTTACTTGAAATCAGAAATCAGAAATCCTTTATTGTCATTAAGCAAAACAATCTTGCAATAGACATAGTCACATATTATGGTAAAATAGGGTTACACAGTAACCCAGTCAGACTAGATTAATAAGCTAATATCACAGACAATAACAGGTAAAAATTTAAAAGTTTAAAAGTAAAAAGAAGGCTGTAGGCTGGGTGGAGAATATACTAGATAAACTATTAAACATCAAAACTTAACAACTTTTACATCAAAAAACTCTTTAATCACATAAAAAGGATGTCCAACAAGCCAGTTGTATAGCCTATCTTTAAAAACCAACTCAGGCAACGCTCTTGACTCAGAGTGCAATACATTGAATAACTTTAAGCTCATGATTGAATGGTTACTGGCACATTTACTTAGTCTATGGGACGGAATTTCAAGTAGAGAGTTAGATCTAGTGTAATGAGAATGGAAATCTTTTCTAACAGCCAAGTCTCCTAATTTTAATTTAACATCAAGTAAACACACATATATGTACAGGTTAATGATAGTCAATATCCTAGTTTTTATAAACAAAGGTCTACAATGGGCTTTGAGAGCTGATTTGGTTACTATTCTAAGTGCCTTTTTCTGAAGTAACAAAACATCACTTATATTACTACCGTTACCCCAGAGAATCAGACCATAGCTTAACACTGACTGAAAAAATGCAAAATAGGCTACTCGGATATATTTCTCAGAAACAACAGTTTTTAACCTATTCACTAAATAAATAACTCTTGACAGTTTTGAACATACTAAATCAATGTGAGCTGACCAAGAAAGGCTGCTGTCAATCAACACACCCAGGACTTTTATGGGCCTAACCTCTTTACAAATTACACCTGAGCCCAAATCTTTGTTTTTAGTATGGCAAACTAGGTGTTGTGTCTTGTCTACATTAAGAAGGAGTTTATTGGCACTAAACCAATCCCCAGCTTGCTTCATTGTATGTTCTACAGATAACTTTAACCAGACGTACCGTTGACTTAGGATATAGCAATTAGCCACTCCATTTATGTCTATCAAATAAACCATTGCTTTGGATCCTGGAAGTAGACAAGTTATTTACGTGAACCAAATGTGGTATTGAGTTTGGATACTGCAAATGGGCATTTTATTTATGCGAATCAAATGTATCATTGACATTGAATACTGCAAATCGACATTCCATTTAAGTGAACTAGAAGTAAGCCTACTATTGGCTTTACTGCAAACAGGCGTCTTATTTATGTGAACCAAATGGACCATTGACTTTGGATACTGCAAGTAGACATTTAATATATGAGAACCAGATGAAACATAGACTTTGGTTCAGCAATTAGACAATTCATTTACGTGAACCAGACTTATTATTGACTTTGAATACTGCAAATAGTCATTCCATTTATGTGAACCAAATATACCATTGCCATTGACATTGGCTACTGCAAGTATTTAATTTCTTTTACGAGGAACAGATGTACCATTGACTGTAGAAAAGTATTGGATTAATATGAGCCCCGCTCAATAAAGCAAGCAGACAACTGCATTGTACACCTAGTTACAAGATAGATTCAGATTGCAACTGCCATTGCCATTTCTCCAGTGCTGACCACAAAAATTTCTACTTTTGTGAGGTATTTTATGTGTCTCTATGGACTTCTTTAAAGGTAAGCCTGCTTCCTATCAATTTCCTTGAGTATTTATTTGCATTTCTTAATAACTTCTTACTTTCTCTTTTCTTTTTCAAGATAAAAACAATCAGAGAATCTTTTCAGTTCTTAGGGAGGTTTTTAATGGTTCAAAACTGAATCCAGCGCCTTTGATCTGAGATTTTAATAAACAATCCTGGTTAAAGTAACTCCCCTGCTTGCTAACTGCGTATTTTATTGCACTGTGGCAGGAATCTCCTACACTTTGGCCATGGTTAGGCTCATAGTACCTCAGACTTATTTCAGTAATTGATTGCCTTCGTGACACACAATATTTATGTTCGTCTCGAAACATGCTGTACATCTTGGAAACATGAAGGTAATTTATATTACTACACTAGCTTGACAATAATGAGACTCAACATATCTGTCTATGTAGTCTTCTGCTAATTTATTTTTTCTTGCGTCTAATGCTCTTACTGTTTCGGACAGTCTGCCACCTCTTTTCTCTGGCTCAACCACTCTGGTTTCTGTTATTTTACTAAGAGCAGTCCTAACCGTGATATTCAAAGTATTAAGGAAAAAAAACATTTTACATACAGGTACCAACAAATTATAATTTTGATGTGTCAAAAAATACTTATAAGTTTGTTTACGACGTGATTCATTTTTAGTAGTTTTCTGTTTAGTTTCATAAATTTCTTTATGTCTTAAGAAGATAAATTCTTGTTGTAACTGCAAACTTTCTAAATCATAGTAACTAAAAAATATGTCCAGTGTTCCTTTCTCTTCTATTTTGTAGCACCCTTTTCCAAGTCTTTCGCAATTTTCAGTGTTACAGCTTGGTTTAATGCTACGTTTTGGCATGCATGTTTAATGCTTGTTTTTGCTGGGAGATTTAGGAGGTTTTTGATGATCCTCACAGCCTTCAATAATAAAGTCTTCTGAAACACATTGTATTTGGGCTTGGATTAACAGTGTTGGTGTTATGTAGTGTTTGTTGCAGTTTTCATAGTTGTTAAAATGGTCCCAACATAACAAAATTACGCATATAGGGCAAGTGGCAAATATTTCTTCTTCGATGCAACCGTGAGCTTCACAACTTCTATATTGACTTTCATCATTATGTATATTATGTCTTGACAACTGGTTTGCAGTTTTTCCCACTTGAGTCGCTGTAGTAGCTTGTTTTTAATTTTGTCCTTCTGATGTTTGGACTTTGCTTACTTTTGTTTTAGCCAAAAGTTTCTTTTTTGTTTTATTCTTATAACACGGCTTGTGGTTGGTTTGGTGATTTTCACACAAAAAGGTTGCATGAACCTTTTTCTGCTAGGTATTATTGATTGTAGATATTATTGACATAATTACAATTCAACACACAATTCACACCTTCCTAAAAATTCTGTTTCCTTATCAGAGTCATACAAGGTACTATTAGACGATTGATCACTGATATTTTCTAAACTGTCCTTGTTTCGATCTTCTGACATTGTGTTTTTAACTTTTTTTGCCAGTGGTACATCACCTGAACTATTTGAATTATCCATGTTAAATAAGTTTATTGCTTAAAGAAAAATCCATCTGAAACAAACAAAACGTACATAATAAAGAACCTGATTTAATATCAAACAAATTTTTAAAAGGGTTTACTCTTTTGTGGCCTTTAGGTCACAGGCTCTAGTACAAATTTTTAATAAATTAATGTTTTTCATGCAGTAAGGCTTGAGCAGGGAAATTATTAATTTTTCTTAGTTTTGTCTTATAAAAGAAATTTAGGGTCCTCTTGGGTTATCATGGTTCTTCAGTTATTTTCTAGAATTTCTGTTACATTAATAATCAAATCTGAAACAAAACAATAATGGATTATTAAATTTTGTTGTGATACGCCATTTATATTATACTTAGGAATCTCTCTGATTTGAGTCTGACAAACTAACGAATCTTCAGTTACGGCAGTTTGTCAGACATATTTCGAACTGGGAAACTGGTTTAAAAAATCATACAAACTGACATATCTTAAGATACGTCAGTTTGTCAGATATAGAATTTCTTAACATTGAGAGACGTAACACGGTAAAATGTGAATATCTCTAGTTCTAGTAATGATAGAGATACGCCAGTTAGTGGGAATTGTAAAGGCAGCCAAAATAAACCTGTAGCTGGCTTATCTCAAAATTTGATTTTTTTTTAGATACGTCACTTTGTTAGAAAGGCGAGCTAATAATGTTTTATGTGTGAAAAAGATTATTGCTCTTAGTGAAAAAACAATATACCTAACTCTTACTATTGTTACTTCAATATTATATTGTTGATTTTCCCCTTAGAATGGCTGGAAACTTAGTCAAAGAGGCCATGGACCATTCAGTGCCAACTCTGTAAGCAACTTCGTCTCTGCTCTCAACACCATTTTAAATATTTTATACCAGTTTGTAATTTTGTCTTTCATAAGGTTGTTAGTCGGCCTTCAAATGAAAGATCAAATCTTTTTTATTCTTATATTTATAGCTATTATTTGTTTTTCAATGTTTCCGTAGCTCAATTGAGTAGTATATGATTAAATACTTACATTTTGAAGGCACACTAATCATATTTAGTACAAAAATCTCATATTTGCTTTTAACATTGGGGTAGTATGTAGGAGCATTAGTATTTCAAATATTTTTCTTTGCAAGAATTAATACTAATCCCTAAAGTTCTGAGTATTTGTTGTGCCATTACCCAATATCTAGACTTTTGAGTTTTTCAACATTAATCTTATTTTGATAGCGTCTATTATATTTTACCTTTCACTCTTTATATTATATTGTTGTTTTTATGATATATTTACTTCTTAGATATATGCGTGCAACTATGACTTGTTAAGTTAATGACACGAGTTTTGTGGAGTAACTGAGGGTTTGTGGCTTTTTATGAAATTCATCTTTGTATAGAATCATGAAGAATATTTTTCTAGGATGTTCAATTTAAATTGTTAAAGAAAGAATTGATGATTTTGTAATAGCCCGAGAGCTGTGTGAACAGAATGGCTAAAAATGATGTCAGAAGATTTGGCTCTACTAAATAATATGGGTTTTCTTGTTGTTAGACATTTTAAACAAATTGTCATAGGCTAATATTAAGCTTTAAGAGTATTATCATAGTTTTTATTTGTGTTAATTACATTCCTTTTCAGCTTTATGTAAAATATAAATTTTAAACGTCAATGTTAGACCTACACTTTGAATTATCCTGTTAGTGGAAGAATATTAGGAAAATCAACCTAACAAATTCGGACTAAGTGGAAACTTTGCTCAGTTGTTTAGTAAGCCTAAATAAATAAAATAGCAGCCAATTTTCACTTTTTTGACAATATTTCACAAACTATTGGTATTAGAGAATTGTTGTAAATACAAAAGTTATAGAACGTCTAAAAATACATATTTTTTATACTACAAGGTTTGCTCTATTTCTAACGGTTATTGAGATAAATAATAGAAGTTAGTATTAAATTTCAAATTCCCATGTTATTCTTATGGGGGAAAATAAAATTGTTGCAGTTTGCTTATTTATGGATATATTTTCATCAAACTTGGCAAATTTATTTATTTCACACTAAGCTAATGATATTTAACTTAAATGCACGCTTTATTACTCTCCTCATAGCAGTAAACCTAGTACACGTTAAATTTTAAGTTACCGTATTTAAATAGGGAAGATATATTACATTTTTAGGATATACTTTTTAGTAAAAATCCAGTCAAGCAAATGGATATTCATTTGTTAACCATATTAACAATTATTTTTTCTTATTAGTATTATGATTTAAAGCCCATTATACTACTATGTAACTACTCAAAACTTACATGGTACGTTATTACTCCCGGTATAATTATTTTGTCGGTAAATATTAGTAAATTGAACCTTAAAATCCGGACTAAATTGAAATGTTGCACAGTTAGCCTAGTTGATGAAAATGGCAAAAGTCCCCACAAATTCCGGCTGTGCTCAGCCGCATTTAGACCGGGTTTTAAGGTTGAATTTCCTAATATTTACCGACAAAATAATTATACCGGAAGTAATAACGTACCATGTAAGTTTTGAGTAGTTACATAGTAGTGACAAGATAGTTAGTGAGCTTTAAATCATAATACTAATAAGAAAAAATGATTGTTAATACGATTTATAAATGAATATCCATTTACCTGTCTGGATTTATACGAAAAATTTATCCTAAAAATGTAATATATATTCCCTATATAAATAACTTTAAATTAAACAAGTACTAGGTTTACTCCTATAGGGAGGGTACTAAAGTGTGTATTTATGTTAAATATTAATAGCTTAGTATAAAATAAATAAATTTGCCAAGTTTGATCCAAATATTTCCATAAATAAGCAAACTGCAACAATTTTATTTTCTTCTATAAGAATAACATGGGAATTTGAAATTTAATACCATTTTTATTATTTATCTCAATAACCATTAGAGATAGAGCAAACCTTGTAGTATAAAAATTATGTATTTTTAGACGTTCTTTAACTTTTGCATTGACAAACATTCTCTAATACCAATAGTTTGTAAAATATTGTAAAAAAAGTGAAAATTGGCCGCCATTTTCCAAGATGGTGGCTGAAGCACAGCCGGGATTTATGGGGACTTTTGATATTTTATTTATTTAGGCTTACTAAACAACTGTGCAAATTGTCCACTTAGTCCGAATTTGTTAGGTCGAATGGCAGTTTTTTCCCTAAAATTCCTGGACTATGTTGTCTGGCCTGTTTTAATTTCCATTTCCATGATCATTGAGTTATTCAGATATTAAACTTGTACAAAAATATTGCTACACATGTGAAACATATTTTTGCTACACTACTGTGAAATGACCTGTTTTCGTTACATGTTTATCACCTGCAAAAATTAATCATTACATTATGGTACATTGTTTACTATGGTAAAATAATGTTTACTTGTTTACTATATTTTTTGGGTAAACAAACAAAGATTTGTTATTGTTTGTAAATATTAACTTTAAATTGAAGGCATAACCTAAAAAATTCTATGAGTTTTGTAATGTTCCTAACTGTAATAAAGAAATATCCAATGTCTGTTTTAATTAAGAAAATTATTAGTCTTTGTAGTGTAGCGAAGAGTAACGTTCAAAAAACAAATGAAAGTGGGTCTATACATATTCTCGGCCATATTTAAAACTCGCACTTCAAACATGGTCTTAAATTTGTAATAACTCACTTTTTACTCTTGTTATGAAATATACTATTCTTAGCCAGTCAAAGGTTATTTTAATTCAACACAAATAATTGTCACATTCTTATCAGGCCTACTCTCTTTAAGTAAGCTTATAAACATTTAAGTATGTTTGTACCGTGCCAATTATTTTGTTGCTGAATATTTTGAACTTTTTTCTTAAGAGTCCTTGGAGCCTAGACGTTCTAACTCATAAAACAGTTAAAGAACTACAAGGAAAATTTCTAATCTCACACTATACTAGATATTTAAATTACAACCACTCCGCCTGGTGTTTGAAAAAAAATTTTGGACGGTAAATAACTCTTTGAAATTATCCAATATGGCCGCTAGCCTCCAATGACTCTTAGGGTATTTTTATTTGTAACCACAGAGAACCATGGATGACAAAATCTGTTGCATCTAAAGGGTTTTTAATCTTCATACTGCCAGCACACTAAAAAAAAATTATTCAACAAGTAAACTGCAGAATTCCGTAGGATTTATCAGTTCCCAAATCTACATTATTTATTGGCAGTTTGAACTTCAAAAACGAGACAATTTCAGCACCTGTAAATGGTTTTGTGTATTATAGCATATAAGTACCAATATTAACCATTGTTATTTACATTACAATCACTGAATGAAGACTGAGAGTTTTAGCTTCTGTTGTCATTTCACAAATGTTGTGTCAAAGTGTTGGTAGCTTTAATGCATTTAGAGATTCCCGTTAATTTGATGTACTGCCTATTGTGTGTTTGACGTTCAGTGGAAAACTAGAATAGTCGTTATTTTTGCACGATATTATTATTATATCTACAGAGTTTAATTTGTTAGAGGATCTAGCTGAATATATATATGATTGTTTTATACATGTACGATTTAAATAAAATAATAGTATTTCTGAGTAGGGTGTTGTCTATTTATGATTAATCATTTTCTATTTTAGCCTTTAAAACACAATGTGAGCCTCTTGCTAACCTGGTCTCCTTTAATGCATCCTCTCTATGGTTTTATGACCTAGGTGCCTGAAAATAAAGGTACTGTATACTTATTTGAACCTTAAAGAGTCCTTGTTGTTGAATAAAAAAAACTCTCGTTTTTAGTACTTCATGGGCTACCGAACTAATTTTTTTTTTACCTGCGTTCATAGCAGGCAGTTCAGGGAAGTTTATCTTTTCAAGCTGTAGCACATTATTAGACGTTTTTGAAGAGACTGTAGGAAAAGGACGCAACTAGAGTTTGTTTTGTTTGACATGAGCAAAAATGTAAAAAAATCTGATCTTCTGTTGTGATGTTATTTTGGTGAAAATCTGCTTGGAATTGGCCGAGTACATAGGTTTGCTGTAATTAATCTATATATTTAACTAGCTGTTTGCCCGTTCTACGTACGGGACATAGAATCTTGTGGTAAGTTGAAACTTGAGGTTTTCATATTTAGTGTGCATTTTTCCAGTTAAGCTGGCAAAACTATTACTGTATAGGAATACAAACCTTCGTAAATACAATATCTGACAGTTTCAAAGCCAAAACGAATGCTTCGCAATTAAATGTCACCCGATCGTGTTAGTTCATATTTTATATATTATGATAAAAGGAATTGCTTTATAGATCTGTGAGGCATAGACTTAAGGTAGGCCTGTAATTAAAAGTTACTTTTCCCACTGGTTAAAAGTAGTTAAAATACTACCTCAACCTCACTACTGTACACTTAAAGGTGCATTGTCCCTGAAGCGACTCTTGCGATAGTAGTTGAGCGATAGTAGCTCAGCGATAGTAGCTAAGCACTGGTTAGCGTTGTTTCAAATGGGACCATTGTCCTTGACGCAACTGCGACTGGGAAATATGAAAATTAAATGATATAATATTGCATTATTATCCATTTTTGAGCTATGTTTCAAGTTTCAATTCTCTAGCTCGTCGGGAAGTTAGTTATTGATTGCAAAGTTTGTACCGGACAAGAAAGTGAGCTAATAAAAACGTTTTAAAATTAGCTGGTGTCATGGCACTCATGGCACCAATTCACTCGAAAATTCAGCAAAATGAACAAAACCGCTCTAGAACAATCGCTTCAGAGACAATGCCATGGTTAGCTACTATCGCCGAGCTACTGTCGCTCAGCTACTATCGCAAGAGTCGCTTCAGGGACAATGCACCTTAATTCGGGTTGAAATTTTTATTAACAAAGGTGCTCTTGTCTTTTCCACGAAACACTGAGAAATAAGGACATTAATGCGTTACCAACAGACATACACACACAAATACAGAATTGAATTAGGGGATTTGCTACGCTTTAACCATCGAAGTATATAACACAACTGGAACACCGGGTAGATAGGAGATGTGGGATAAAAAGCGCGCCGTTTCGGCAACCTTCCTCCACCACTATGGGGGACCCAACGCAGATATGTCAGTTCCTCAAGCCGTGCACGCGGTTGTTAATACGCTCTTGGCCGTGTATACAAAAGGTTGGCTGCAATTAAAGTTATATATTCGGAATCTGCATTAACTGCAGAATCTGACAGTATAAATATAATCTTATTTAAATCGTAATTTGAATTTTAACAACTAAAAATGTTAAACAAATATCACACCTTGAAAAAGTTACTAAGCGAGGATTTTTTTTATTTTTTGGTCAGAAGCAAACTTCAAGCGACAAAATCGTAGCTAATGAGATGATCTTCAGCATATAACCAAGCGATTTCAAATAAAATTTTCTAGCCGTGTGTAATGGAGTAATTAGTAACGCAAAGAGGTTATTTATAAATCGCGCCGCGGGCCGTTCTGCCTGGTTCCGATAATCTTTACGTTTACGGTACTCCCAGAAACGTTTTGAGTACAACCAATAGTTGTATTAAATACATTTTCATTACAGGTAACACATAACTAAATACTGAATCATCACCTTCTAGGTAAACTATATACATACAATGTTACCGTAAATTAAAATAAAAAATTTAGACTATAGATACAGGGACAGGTAATCCCCCTTTGTTTAAATGTAACAAGGAATCGTGTATTATCTGCTTTGTTTGGTAATTAATGAGAAATTTAAAATATTAAGGCTCAGAACAAATAATCGACAAGGTCATAAATACTAAACCTAGGAAGTATTTAACGTAAAGGCAATAACAAAAATTGAATAATAAATTTACAAATCCAATTGTTAGTCTTGTTCCTTTGACAATATGAGTACAATGTTGCAAAGACACGATTAGTAAAAAGGTATTTTGAGTGTCATTGTTATTCTGTATATGTTTTAAAATTCATATCATCACATATAAGAGAAAAGGGTTTGGTTAATAATACTAAACAGTACTTTTAATAATATGTTTTACTGCCCACAATCGTGCTTAAATATAGTACAAAGGTTGCATTACATGTTGTGAAACAAAACCAATATCTTCAATCTCTGCCTTACACCTAACTAATTTTTGTTACATTCATTCATAATGTCCCTAGAATTGGAGAAATAAACGGTTTGGGCGGCAGCCAGGTACCGGTATTGGTATTGATATTCATCTTCTGCAAATAAATGAAATATATGATCACATCCATAGAATAGTTAGTTGTATTCTTTAACTTGTATCAACTATTTAACAAAAAAGGTTAAAATTATTTAGCTTTACAATGATCGAGTAGCAAAAACATAAAGAGTTGCTGGACTGAGGAGGTTGGTGCGACATAAAATCAACCTCGTCGCGCTATTAATCACTATACTACAAACAATCTACAAACTTAATTGTAAATTGCTCGATCACATGTTAAAAATCATCTCTTAAATTACAACTTTATCGCTTACAGTTTTCTTCTGGCCCCAAAATAAAATACTTCCTCGCATACAAACTTTTTCATGTCACAATGAACAAATTGTTAACTCTTTTTAACTATGGAAATTATATTTTAAATCAAAAGTAAAATTTATTTACACCATTACATTCTGCATTTAATGCAGATTACGAATATATAAACATTATCGTGCTTAATCTTTGTTATTGAAGGCTAGGAGCGAGTTAACAACTTCGCGCACTATTCGATGAATTGGCCAAAATCCGCTGGGTCCCCCATGGTGGTGTGGGAAGGCTGCCACAACGGCGCGCTTTTGTGAACACGCACCTAGCATTCCAGTTGTGTTATATACTTCGATGGCTTTAACCAAAGCAAATTACAAACAAAATAATTATTTGAAAGTTTTGATAGTGTCATAAAATGTTATGATAATCGTTTTTAGGCCAAATCAAACTGTAAAATTAGTGTAAATCCGTTGGCAAATATATAAACATCCGTTAAGAGTCTTCATCAGTGGTAGCCATCTTGAATCTTAGTCCCATAAGACTAATGTTAACTTGGTGGCGGTATTACGTCTCTTCCGATTGTTGTAAAGATATAATTTTTATGTCAAATTAAAGGTATGGTAGTCCTCTAGCTAATGTATTGCGTAAATTGTTCATTACGAGGCTAAATTTTGAAATATGAATAAATTAGTGAGCTATAAATCAAATATTTTTTAACTACAAACTAAACCATATTTTCAAAAAATAACTAATACATTAGCTAGAAACGTGCCTTATAATCATAATACTAAATTTTGGAATTTTTATTTCCATAAATAACTGTGTAATTTTGTGACAAGTAATTACGTTGAGTATACTGATCGGAGCGCAGCAGAGTGGCCAAGCGGGGAAACTCGTGAAGGCGGAGTGATACACTGAAGTTTCGGAGAGAGTGGCGCGAGCCCATATAATTTAAAAACTACAAATTATTGGGCATTCGTTTGCTGTATTACCACTTTTTTATGTATCCGGAACTCTTGGTACTACTTATTAGACGTGATTGATGCTGCTTTAAGCAATCAGATGATTGTGCTTCAAAATACTGTAATGAATATTAATTTTTCTTTCGATTAGGCGGATTGATTTTGAAAGCCACAGGAAGTACTTATGCGAGAATTCTTCTACGTACCGTATGTAGTGTATGAGTAAATTTAATGATGTAATGTATTGTTTTGCCTTTGTGAAGACTATGATTTAGTAATCCGGAAAGGGGCACACAAACAATGTAAGCCAACGACATAACGGCACAGGGGGCTGTGAACTAAAAAGCGCTTCTTCTACATAGAAATGAATAACAAACAGGAAACTCCAAGTCGTCTGGACCAGTCTTATCCCCTAATGAATTCTGTGTAGCTGAATATATCTTACTGAATATAGTAGTTAGAAGTACTATATCGTGTGTGATAAATAATATAGAGTGTTTTACATTCGCGAAGATTGTAGTTGTTAGTTTTACGTAGCCTACTGCAGATTTGAACAAATCCCAATATTTTTTTTTTTTAAACAAGGAGTCTTAACTAATTTCAAGACAGAAAATCAAGTTACACAATACACATCCCACAAAAAAACATCAAAAACTGCAAAATCTAAATGTACACATTGATAATGTGTAATTACTTATGAGATTGAAGATAACGTACTAGTATAACATTTTTAGCTTTAATCGCACCTTGCATTGCTTTGCAAGGCAAGATAGAATCAGATTTCTTATACTGACAACTGGACGCCGTGATCGCGGCAATACCATATGCATATTGCATATATATACAACACTGGATCGCTGACCAGTATAGTTATTATACCCAAATCAGCAGAGTCTGTGAGTGCTATAAAAACAATAAAATTGTCTTCAGCTGTTCCATAAGGAAGAGAAATATACTAAGGGAGTATGTTTTATCTATGGTAGTGTTGTGTGTTGCCTTTGTGGAGATTATGATTTAGTGTCCCGAAAAGGGTGGCAACAATGTGATCAAACTAAACAACCGCACATTGGGGCTGTAAACTAGAAAGTGCCTCTTCCTAGAAATGCCTAACAAATAAGGAAACTCCTAGTCTTCAGAACCAGTCCCATCCC